TGTAACATACAAAAAAATACAATAAATGTGTCATTATTACATACATCTTTTACACTTCACCTCAAACTTAAATACAGCTCATTACAAGTTTAGGCAGCACAATTAAAAATAACTGGAAGTATAACAGCTGGGACATTGTGATTAGTGCAAATGTTGATGACCCTTGCTGGCAAATACAAAAATAACTGCAGAGGGAACCAAGGGATGTTTAATTCATCAAAGTTGGAAAGGGGACAGCGAGAGGCGGCAGACTTAACAGCAGGAAAATTTTATGATTGTAAATTGTTGTTCAGAAAGTTTTAAGTTTCTCACAATACAGCTGATAGCAACAGGTTAAGAGACAGGAGAAATTAGAGAGGAACATGCTAAGCATGTAAGTTGTCAGCTAAGCAATGTGAACGGAAGGGCATCTGCATGTCACCATTAATGCTTTGGTGTCAATAAAGGTGATCTCAATACTTCATCCCTAACACATCTGCTTGACTGCTGAGCATGTGCTCTCTGTTTCTTGGGGCAGGGGATGGGAAGAAAAATGGGGAAACCCCCAAAAGACAAAGCAAGCAATCCTGTAAACATCAGACTTTACTACCTAATGGAACCAAGATTCAAGTAATTGCTGCAGAAAACAAACAGCCAAACACCACTTTTAATCAGCATTAAAACTAACTACAACTTGCAGCTTCATTACATTTCATGACAGTTACGTAATTAAGAAAAAGGCATATAAAAAGCTGGCTATATATACAAAATAAATTGATAAAAATGAGTGTAGGAAATGTGTTCAGTATTATAACAAATCACTTTATATGCAGCTGCTCTCTTTGGTGCCATTTAGGGATAGAAGAGCCTCTGATGTTGCATTCCTAGCCATTTTTTAGGTACCGTAAAAGATGTGTTCTTGATCTGCACTTACAATTAAAGTAGCTGCTATTTGGAGCCTCTGTAAATGTATACCTGAATCCCCCAATTTTAGACGGTGTCCTCAGAGAACATATACTATGAAGCTCAAAGTTGGTGGGTTTTTTTGGTTTTTTTTTTGTTGTTGTTGTTTTTAATAAATATGGTCAGTCAGTGCTCCAGATCTAGGCAGATCTGGTTAATTTATGTCAGAGTCAATGCATTTCTTGGTAAATCTGCCAGACACTAACGCTGCTACAGACGCTGATTTTTTTTTCCCTCCTCTTGGGGCTCTGGTGAGCTAAAACCAGACCATACTTCAGATAGATCAAGAAGTTCTTTGAGTGGATACTGCATGGTATTGAACTAAACCAAACCCTCCAAACCCCCAAAGATTATTTACAATACAGAAGAGCTACACAAGATCAAACAAGGGAAGAAATAGTACTGAAAACTAAGCATTTAGCACTCTGGAGAACAGGACCAGTTTCTAAGATCAGCATACCAAAAGTAGCTTGGTACCTACGAATTCCACACTCAAGGGCCAGCTTTAACAAAAATGTTACCGTAATTTCTGCTCAAATCACGAAAAAGAAACTCCCTCTAAAATAACCCTCTGAATAATTAAAGTGGAAGTTTTCAATCAAAGGCTTATAAGGCATGACCTTGTGACACTGCAATCTCAGGATAATACTGCAGGAAATCAGTAACAACAGAAACCTACACCTGCCCTCTTCCCATATACGCCTTTGGTAGGAGCAGCAATGATGTGTGTGTGGTACAGTCTGCGAATAAATCGTTGCAAGAAAAAAAATAGTATTAGCTGTGTAGTTTTAAGTATTCTTTTCTATTTATGGATGTCCTTGCCTCACCTTCACAGGGGCAGGTTTATCATCTCAAGACATTTCAGAAATCTCGAGGAGAAATCACACTGAAATTTTGCCCTCCGTCAGGCTTCTGTCCTCACACTGGGAGTTTAATGTCATTTTGTGTGCATGACTCTTGTGTGTATGTGGATTTTTTTTAAAAGAAAAAAGCAGTAAGAAATACGAAAGCATGGTTTCTAATTCTAGCCAATGTCAACTATCCTACAGTAACTACAATACTACTTATGGCTTGCAATAGTAATTATTTTGATGTATCTAAAAGCTTAAGGGCTGTTATTTTTAGTGACTAGGTATTTTCAAGACTTACTGATACAGAGTGGGTTAAAGCACAAAACCAGCATGTACAACGTGACCCAGGACCCTAAACAGTTGTTTTCTCAGGATCCATCTCCCTTCTGACTTCCTGAACAGGTAGGGCTGCTCTTCTCGCTGCATTCACTGAAGTTTTCAGCTCTTCAGTGCATGGGCCAAAAGGGTCTATTTCCTGGAGCACCCTGACAGCTCCCCTGCCTCTGCTGGCAGTGATACCCAAGTCTGCTTGCAACTCAACAGCCAAACAGCTGACTTGTTCCCTCGTTTTACCTATCCTGCTCTTTGATACAGCACACAGTGCCCTTGCTTATGGTTAGGGAGCTGTCAGGATAGAACTCTGAAAGACTCAACAGAAGATATTGTCCTGCCGCCTTAGACATGACACCTCCTCTGCAGCCAGGGCCTGCCAGGAAAACCTGACCCCCCCATCCCACTCACTGGTGAGCCCTTAGAGTTCATCAGTACAACTCCCTTAGAGAACTTAATTCCTTTATATCAGTCTGGGGTTTCTCTTAGTAACCAGTTCCCCAGGGAAAAAAAAAGGGGAGGGGGAGGGTTGGGGGTGGTGAAGTTGGAAGAATCATACTTGAATCATTTTACTACATTTCATATTTGTCAAAGTGACTTTTCAGTAATGCCTGCTTTTACACCAACAGTGGCCTCAAGAGTATCCTAAGCACACTGCTCTTCTCCTTTTCTCATCTGAAACATGAGAAAAATCTGGGACAAAATATACCCGTGATCTGCATAAAGATGTCAGAAACATCAGCTCTTTGTGAAAAGCCACAAAAATGTGCATTAGATATACAAAGAACTGGTTTCAGAAGAACAGCACTTGATAGAGAACACATATGGAGTTAGCCCAGTCTGTTTACTTGGAGTTTTTCCTGTAGATTAACTATCCTGACTGAAGAAATCAAACAAGTTATACTGATGTTAGCCTACAGTATATATACATTCATATGGGGGTATAATCAAGCACTTTGGGGGTGGTAGGGGAGGGCAGAGACCATATGGCTGCATCAGTGATATTTACCATATTAGAGGCATAGATTTTGCTTATAGTTCTGCTAGTCGATGATTGTGCATGTATGTGTTATCTCAGCTGTAATACAGTGATGCAGTAAATGCCAGCTCATGCCCTGGGCCCTCCATTACAGTTCCACCAGTGTTTGGGGCTGCAAATTTTGGTATCCAGAACGAGCCATTTGAACTTGCAGTCTTTCTGGCTCTGTTGTCTTCCCCAAGAAATTTTGCTGGTGCAGTACTGCTGAGAGCTTATATTCCGATGAGCACTTCTCACTTGACATTTGAGAAAAAAAAGCTAAACCTTTCAGATTAATGTGTAGTAAATTTTTTTTAAGTTTTGAAATTAGCAAATGCAAAATTTCTTGTACAAAGTTTGAAGAAACATTCTACAACTTTTATAAAACATGCAAGTTTGGACCATTACTTCTGTCTCAAGAACATCCAACAGTGACCAAATCACATTCATAGGTTCTCAAAGTGTTCTTGTTCTAGAAGATTAGTATTTAAGAAAAATTTATTCTTTCCAAAAACAAAAAGTACTTGTTTTAAACTCACAGTATATTTGATACCTTAGTATCTCCATCATAAACATATTTGACTTAAGCAGCAATCACTCTGGGAGAGAAACCAAACAGGTTCTTTTGTCCAGATCATCAACTCGGCTACTACCTTCAGTCTGTAGCAAAAGGGCTCACATCTATTTGTAATCAGCATCAGCTGAACATCAGAAAAGTTACAGATGGGAAAACAGTATTTGTCACTTTTTCCAGGTGCAAAATTCCAATACCACCCAAAGATGAGTTAGCAGTCTTCTCTACAGAGGAGTGAGGGGGAAAAACCCCCATGCTGTTTGCTGTAGGTCTTGAGCTTAGGATGGACTTTATTCCTCACACAGGAAAAACATTTTGCCTTTTGTGAACAGGTACATCACTGCACAAAGCATTCAATCTTTAGCAATTTCATCATCACTTAAACTGGACTTGAAAATGGCAGACTAAAGCATACAAATTTTCAGTGTGTTAACACAAATGTACGATCCAACACTAATTTTCTCATAAGTACTTGATATTTGTTTAAATGGTACTTTAGAACCAATAAAAACTTGTGCCTTTATTAAAAAGATAAAACAAAAGTATAAAACAGTATTTATAAACCATCAAGAGTCCCATAGAAAAAGCAGTACTCTTCTAGTTCCATTTTCTAACAACACATAACTGCAGTAAGGTTTTTCTCAGGGGTACTTTACCATTTTGTTACTGCCTCATACAGAACACTGCAGACATTAACAGAAAACATAACAATTATTCATTCCTTTTTGGATTGGCTTTTCTTTGTATGCTGATAGACAATTGTTGGAAAGTAATAATCCATGTTTTTTCAACTAAAAAATGAGTTTGCTTCTTTGAGCTCTGTCCTTGGTTAAATAGATCAAGTTAAAATGATGAGGGGACTCAATCCTATAGCAAAAAACCAACACCCAAGTAAAAGGCTTTTACGTTGTTGGCATTGCCTTGCTCCAAAGCACAGCTAGTGGAAGGAATCCTCAGTCCCAAAAGACTTGGAGAGCTATGATCATGGGGTAGACTGGTTAATAGGAAGAGGGGAGAAGACATCATCCAGTCCCTTCCCCATCACCTGGTGTTTGAACTATGTATAGTCGCACTTCAGACTCACTAGCCATGCTCTATGTTGATTTTTCTTCCCCTGTCCCCCCGTTTTTTTTTTTCTTTCTTTTCCTTTTTTCTTTCTTTCTGTACCCTGGAGACCTGCTATGGAAGTGACTTCTGCAGTGCCTAAGGTATGAAGTTTGCCCGTGGGGAGGCAGGAGTCTCTGCAATCTACCCCCACCACTGCAGCATAACAGAAATGCATAGTTCCCACTCTGGACCTTGTGCATCCAAGCAGGGCACTTCAGGATTTGGCCCTTTGGTAGCAGTATATAATTCAGTGTTGCATAAATGCACATTAAGAATCTTAAGGCATCTGTCTTAACTTCCCTGCTCTGCAATAGTGCTTACAAGAATCCATCGTACTGTGCAGAAACTTGAATTTCTTGTCTCTTCCTAAAATATTCATGTTCCATTTTTTTACTGATCAACTTCTTCCAAACAAAATTAAGTAATATTCAAGCACAAAATGTGTTGCAGAAACCTAGTGAAACAAAAAAGGTAATTAGTGGAATTATACCATTAGCTTTGCAAAACCAGATCATAGTGCATTACAAGAATGCAGCTAAGGTAACATGTAATTTACAAACTCCTGATTCAGGACAGCAGTTAAGATAACTTCAACTCATAATTAGCCTTCTGGGAGGTGTGGGTCTTTTTGTTTTGTTTCTGTTTTAAACCTCTTATGTTTTAGAAGAGTATCTGCACTAAGAATGTCAATCCATCACCACTGACCTGTGGCTAAAGTGTCTTGGATCCCTGATTGGCAAGAATTGCTCATTCATTTTGAATTAAATTGGTCAATATGGGAACACAAATGATATTTGCCTAGGTGAGGCTGGGGGCATTGGCCTTCTTTTGCAAATCATGCTCTTTTCTCTAGAATAATCTGGGAATTTTACTCGTCAGCCATAACTTTGATTGCTTCTGCTGCATGTTACAGGCATAAAATTGAAAAATACAACTATCAGTCTGTTACAGGGTATATGAAAGTGCTCACAGTTATTGCATAGTTGCTTACAATTGCAGGGGGATTGGAATTAATCACCTTGGCCTACAGAAACTGTGATCAAATCCAACTATGTTAACCATTATTTGACATAACACATACCAAAATGCTTTTGTGTTGGGTGCAGTTATGCACTATTTATTTATACAACTTTTAAAACTACAGCAGTTTAGGCAAGTGCGACACAATCTTCCTCTATTAAATTTGGCCTGACTTTAGGAAGAGAAGGAGGAGAGAAAGGAAATTTATCCCAAACTATTATCAGCTAATTTTCTAGCCTAAGCCAGTCACTTATGCTCCCTCTTTAGGTCAGTGGAAAGAAAGATTAAGACCTTTCTATAACACCCTATCAAAGGCTGCTGGGATGAACTGCTCTCAGAAGATACCTATTCCTTTCTGTGAAGAATAGAAAAGCCTTAGTAACCTGTTTAGATCAAATTTAGTTTTTGTATAGCTACAGGCTGAAAGGAGTCCCTTGCTGGGACATTCATTTGCACATTTATATGAAGCATTAAGAAAAGTTGCAAAGGGAAAACTCATCATTGGTGGGTTCTCATGGTTGAATAGGTTTTTCAGAAGTACCACTAACTAGTCTAATTTTGGTTTTGTACGAGTTTACATTAAGCAGTCTGACCAACATCAGTCAAAGCATCACACTATCCCCCACAAGGACCTTTTAGACTTTTTTTTTTTCCCTTGAAAACCAACCAAAAAACCCCCCAAAACAATGATTCTAGGTCAGAAGGCTTATTTAAAAAAAAAGAAAAAAAATCTAAGTGATTCTAAAATTACTGAGCTCACAAAACTCAAATACTGTGTTTTCTTTCCAAATAAAATGGGAATTCCTTGCAAGTTGTCTCCCATTTTTTGGGAAGAAAAAAGAAAAAGAAGGGGGGGGGGAAGGGCAGAGGGGGGTGAATGACTTAGCCCTCAGCATCTACGGTTGCTAGTTGTCCAAGTAAGATTTGTTTCTCTTCCAGAGAAAAAATTAATGGGAGCTTATAAGCTTACCACATATGAAGTCAACATAAAAGAAGTCTAATTTAGTCACTGGAAATACACCAAGGGAAGTTTTCATATATGCAGCAGCATTCACTGTATTTCCTGAATGCAAAGTGTGTGCAGAGCTCTTACATAAAAGATCACTGTCAATTCCAAGTGTGACACAGCAATCCGTATGTAGACGCCTATATTTACCTATTGACCTTCCTTCCTCGTGTGCACATAGCTTCTTAAAGTGTAAGAGCAGAGCACTGCCCACCAATATATGATTAAGAAAAAGACAGTTAAGGAGCTGTTCCTTAAGAAAAGCGCTTCCTCAAGACAGCACTTCATCTTGAAATTGCCCATTTAGCAGATTAGATTCTTTTTCCTGGTCAGGTAACAAATCCAGCACTACCCACTTCAATCTAAATTACAGGATTAGTCTGACTCATCTCAGATCTAGCCAGCCCATGTTTCCTGCACTGCAGCATTACTCCCATTCTTGTCTTCTGGACAGCCATTCTGAGTTTTCTTTAGACTTTTCTATTACACATTCAACATCAGAGGACTCCTCTGCATTCCATGGCTAGTGACTTTTGATTTCAAGATGTCTATTTTAGTTTACTCATACATATACAGAAATGGCAATCAATTATGTTGGTCTTACCTGTTTCTCATTGAGACGGATGGTTAGTAATAAGCTGAGATCAGCTTTCCAATGAAACTATAATATGCTTTTTTGCACCTAAAATGTGAGAGAATCTCAATTATGTGTTTTTGCAGATTTGCACAACAAATAGCAAAGACGTCAAACCAGAAAGCACATTTATCGTATTGTGCCTATTTTAGAAAAATATTTTCCTCCCCCTAATCAAACGTAAAAAGATCCAAAATCTCAGAATAGGAAGTGCGAAAGCAAGAATTATCTATCCATTACCTTAGTGTAATAATTCGTTTTGGAGCAGAGCATGAGACCAAGTTAGCCTTAACATCTAAACATGCTGACTTGATTCTATGGAACAAATTTTCCTCTACTTGACTCCAACCAATTCCTAAGGACTTTTTAGGCCTTAAAAAAAAAAAAAAAAAAAAAAAAAAAGGAAAACCCCACCACAAACGAAGCCATAGAATCATCAGAAGTGTTACAGTGCAGGTTACCTGATTTAACATTTTCCTCTTCAGGGCCACTTTCCACCCACTGACTGTCACTGGCTAGCAGTCGATTTTGTGATTCACTGAGTGGTCGAGTAGGAAAGGACTGATTGGCTCCAGAGCTGAAAAGTAAGCAAAGTCAACAGAAATTCTGTAATAGCAGTAGCTGCTTATTTCACACATTTGTAGAGTAGTGAAGTTACTTAAGAGCAAAGCAAACAAAAAAACCATACACTGTGACAACTAAAAATGGCCCTCGGCCCCCAACCCCAATTCTCCTACAGGCTTGTTCCAGTCAGCAGTCTAAACTCTTATCTGACATAGGCCACTCATAGTTCTAATGGAAAAAAAGCACAGATTGATAGACAAGAAATGGCATACTGACAACAATGCTGCTGCCACACAGTGAAAAAGAAAACCTAACCAGTACTGTCTGGAAGAACAACCTAATGCCATCTTATCCCATCAGTAAATGCTAGGGCTTTCTGCTGAACATCTTCCTAATGCAAAAGGATACTCTGCTGTTCACACAAGGGTCCTGCTCTTGTGTATGCTGCACTGGAAGCAACTTCTTCTCAGTATTGCCTTTGAGCCCCCCTAATGCCTGATAACTCAGGTGACTGCTGTTGACAACAACCTTCAGCTACAAATTCACCAAACTATACAGAAGACTTCTAAAATGGCAAATGTAAACACCCCCAGAAGTTTCACATACTCCTGCGTCTTTGAATCTAAAGCAGGCTTCCTGAAAATACACTGAAGATACAAAACATGCAAATTTGGAGGGATAAAAAGTAATGAGCTAAAAACCCTGCAGTGCTAAAAAACAGCAATAGCCACAGTGATCTACCTCTCTTGCAAACTGTGTCTCAGCATCCCTTGTTTAAACATGCTGGAGGAGGTGAAATACAAACAATACCTTGCCTTTCTCTCATTCCAAAAAATATCTTAAACTTTTTTTGCCACGGACTATTACTCAGTCTTCCCTAGGACTTTCTTGATTGTGGTTAAGAGCCAGTAAGCTCTCTACTTTCTGTATTACTGTTTCCTTAGAGCCATATCCTGTGTTATAGGTCAAAACCAAGAAACAGACTTTCTGCATCAAGCAGCACCATTTTTTAGTCTTGGTCTATTGTGTCCTTCTCAGAAGACTTACAAGCTCACTCTGAAGATGACAAGTATAAAAAAATTTTGAAATAATTTTGAAACAATTTTTTCTCCAGATGAAGTACAGGACAGTACAAAATCAGTATCTTAAATGCTACAGTTACCTTTTGGCAGGTTCATTTTGGCTTGAGACAGTAAGTTGCTCTGGATCCATAATCACCAAACGAGTTGGAAAATTACACCCGTCGCCCAAACTAAACCAGAAACAAAGATGCAAATCGCTGTTTGTAGTTGACTTGAATGAACTGAACAAGTACCCATGCAAAAGGCAAACGCTACAGGCTCGAATCAATTACTTGAGTGCAGCATTGAACTCCAGACTTGAGCAAGGCAGTTCTACCACTAAGCCAGATGATACGTTAATTAAATCTTGGAGCTCAAATGATTCCCACCCTATCACTCAGTATGGATTGCTGAGCACAGCACTAGTCTATGTATTTCAGAAACATCACTGTGTTTCTGTAGACTGTAGCCCTAGTCTTTAGCCAAACCACCGTGCACACGTAGTCAGACTATCTGGTATTTACAACTGCAGAAGCTGTAGCATAAATAATATTCTGGTGGCCATGCTTTCCCCTCCGCCCATTATTTTGAGGTTAGCTAAGCCTTCTTTTAAAGCAAGTTTAATCAGGTCACATGAAAAGTCATGGTAGTTGAGCAAACAGCTGAGGCAACTTAAGATCTTGTTATTACCTCTGCTGTTTGCTACCAGACCTCAGCTTCACAAATGGGTTCACCAACATTTTAAACTGATACACAACCCCCCAAAAGCAGTGTTGAAACACGGCTCCTACTTTGTACTGCTGCCTTTTGGGAGTGGTGGGAGTGGGCAGCAAGTCAGTCTTGCTTCATCAAGCTTCTCTGACGCTTGTCTGCAACTCCCCAACACTGGCTCAGCTGAAGTTTTAAAACCAGTATTTTGCATCGTATCAGAATTTTTTTTTTTGCACTGCTGCTTATTTACATGCACTTGCTCAGGCGGCTTTCAATACCCAAACTGTCATCTACAGCAAAAGGAAAGCTGTCAAGCATTTTCAGGGGTAAGAGGGGGTGTTTTTAAACTGATGTTTTTTCAATGCAGCTGAAGTTCAAGCTTTGGATCTCCTCTAAGTTGCTGATTTCTGTTCTATAATCAGACACTAATACTACCACCAAAAGGTGTACAATTTTTGAAATACAATTCTCAAAGCTCTCCAAACTTCCATATTTAGAAGGCCCTTGTCAATGAGGCCCTTGTTTCTGAATGAAAACCCTGCGCAGAATTTGCTCAGTTTTCTCCTGCACTTTTTCCCTAGCAGGATTTACAAGTTGGATTTCAGCTGTGCTTTGTTTTTTAGGAGAAGGGAAAGCAAGGTGAAAGTCATGGAATCAATTTTTTCCCCAATTCATTCCCATTCAGACTGAATACCTGGTAAAGATAGGGAGTAGCCAATACTTCTTTTCATCTCCGAAAACCTCCCTCAGATTTTTGCTGCATCCAAGAGAAAAGCCATTTTTATCAGGGCCATTTCGAAATGTGGGTGCACGGAATGTTTCTGTAAAAGAAAAACATGCAGTATTTCTAAAGTGATAAAGTCAGGGAAGATGAATAAACAGACTCAAATTTCTCTATTGTGAAAACAGTGTCGGGCAAGCTGAGACGATCTTGATGTGTATTATGGGAAAAAAAAAGAGTCATCTCAAGTAATCAGAGAGCATGAAAAAAATCACAGGGTTAATGACAAAAATAGAAATGAAAGGTAAGAAAGTCACGTAAGCAAAACAGTCATCCTTCTCTCTTTACATTTAACATAAGGTCTGAGACAGAGCTAAGTACCATCAGCATGCCAAAGATACCACATCCCTTATTCATTGATGGCTAGCTCTCTTTGGCCTGTGAAGCCTTCTTTGAGCAGAAGACTTCCTCTTCTAGAAGCAATTTACCATAAGCACTACTGGACCTAAACCCATACAGGATAGTTTTGTCCACTTCTGCCAAGGTCTGAAGTTGAATTAAGAGCATCCTGTGGTATCAGAGAAAGATGAGATCTATTACATTAGAAACACAGACACACCATGAACTGCAGCAAATCACCACCATTTTTCTAGTCAGTCGGGTTACACCCTTGGCCAAGAACCATGAGGACTCATTGCTCTCCCCATACCAACAGCTTGTCTTTTTACAATCATGATCCAGAAAGTAAATAAAGTACTGACTGTGTTGCCTATTATGACCACTGACTTTTGGGCAAGGAACATGCTAAGATTTTTTTCAAAGCTAAAAAAAGAGACTGTGAATATTCCTTAGCTGTAGATATGTCAAAAGAAAAAGGACTCAAACAACCCTCCTGTCAAGCAATCAAAAAAAATTCCTTTTCCTCCATCAAAAAATTCCAGCAAGTTGAAAGTTATTTCACTTTTAATCAACCCACTTATTTTTGAGGATAGAAATCTAACTTCCGTTGAAAGGTATAAGATTTTGACTTACTCAGTTGTGGAAATACCCACTAGCTCCCCCCCGCAAAAAAGACTTTCAAAAATGCTTTAGCAAGAACTTCAGATATTTTAACTAATGCATGTAACTTGCTTATGCTGGTCAATGCCATTTAAAACATTTAGGCATAGAAATTATGGAAATCTCTTTTATTATTTAGGGAATGTGCATCAGTGTTTCCATTTTTATCACACTGCTTTTACTTCCTAATAGTGAGGTCCATTTTATTTCACAGGATTTAAGAATAGTCTTTTGGATCTATTTCAAAATGTGGTATGTTCATATACAGTAGAGCCTTCACCTTGACTGGGGCCACCCAGCTACTCAAAGTATTAGAACAACAGGGTTACTGGCAAGTAGCAATTGTGTTACATACTTAACATTATATAAAACCACAACAAAAATGCACAGTGCCTCAGAGATCTCAAAAATAAAAATAAAAGAAATTAACATTCATCATGAATCCAAATGCTTGGCTCCAGCAGACGACCCCTACACATGCTTCATTCTCCCATGTTTCACCTTTAATTACTTTCACCAAATATGCTTCTTATTGCACAGTATTTAAAAATTCTGTCTTTATGTGATGGCCTATCTTGTAGGCCTCACATTCGCATCGACTTGTTGGTTTTCTGAACAAGGAACCGTTCCATATTCCAATTAACTGACCTATGGTTGATCTGTTTTTCCCAACTAGCCAGCAGTGGTAGCTGAAGAGTGACAGTATGCTGATGAAGAACATGGCTGCCACAAAGAAAAGGAATAGTACGTGGAATTTTGCATGGGTATCTGGCAATTCATTCTGAGGAGAAAGAGAGAAAGAGATTAATACGTTAACACTTTTTAGCAGTAATGCAGTATTGTCGCTAAACATTTTCTGCCACATCCATTCTGCTATAGGTCTTTCATCTCACTTTTCACAAAGAAAAAAAAGCACAAGCTTGGCTTTCCTTTCATGTCATGTTAAACTGGTATACCACAGCATTTAAAGCTGATGGGTACCCCTTCCACCTCAGTTTAGTAGCATGACTGCGTATGTTCATCTGTTAGTTTTTAAATGCACAGTAGTATAGGAAAAAAATTTCCTATACTAAAAAACATTAACTGTCCAGCCACAGCCAGACAGACACACGGAAAACATGTCCAAAAATCACCTTCTTTGAAGGGAAGAAAATACAACAAAAACGTCCAAACCCTTTCCTGGCAAGGTAATAATACTGAACCTACTTCTGAACTGCTGTGAGGAACGTAAAAGGGAAATGGCTGTCACACTGTGTTTCCAAGACTGAACAACTCCTAGACAAGACCTGGGACAGATCTTCAATTTTTGATGATCTCTAAGGTTTAGGCAACAACCAGCATGGACCTAGCAAAACAAATTTGCCATGTCTGACCAGGAAGAAGTGATTCACCAGAAGATCTATGTGAAAAACAACAATTTCAGTACAACCACCATAAAATAACCTCCCACCCATATTGAATAGCCGATTCCACCCCCAACCCCAACTATTTTTAAGCTTGCACTTTCAAGAGACCAATGGGATTTGTAACAATACTATTCCAGTTCTATATCCTCAAAATCACAGTACTTTTAAGTAGTTGACCTTTAACAGCACTATGAAAGCAGAGAGGCTATTTTTATTCAGCTGTTTAGTTAGCATTATTGCCATTACTTTTTCCATTAGCTCATTCAGTATAGCCACTTATCTAAGGCTGAATTTTTTTTTTTTTGACTAAAACACACTTCAATTAAGATCAAGTGCACATAGGTATATCTATATCCCTGTACACTGCCTATATTCATAGGCAACAGATTACAAGTCTCCTTCTTTCTGTGATGGTGTAAATAGCTACAATGAATGACTGAAAAATTACAGTAGGAACAGTATTTAAATAATTACAGCAATATTGGATTTTACCTTTGGACAATTCTCTGCAGCTTTCCTGCGGCAAAGCTTTGCGCAAACAAAGACAATTTATTAAATGCTAGTATTATGTTAAGATTAAGTGTTTGAAAACAGCACAGGCTTTGTTAAAAATGAAATGGTTGGTGTGCACACGTGCTCTTGGACGTGCCGAGTTCCAACGCCCATCAGGAGCCTTAGCCCCCGTTCTCCAAGAGAATGGAGGAGAGAGTACATAAGAGCACACTACTAACTTCCAAGTCATGAAATTTTCTACCGAAGCATAGAAGTATTGCTATTCAGATTGTGGCTGGATCACTTTCAAGTGGTTCCTCAGGCTGAACAGCATGACTACACCAGATGCATTCTTTGCTAGTTGTTTCCATCACAAGTAAGGTTTATGGGAATATTCTGTATGATGAAACCATTCATAAAGGTCTGAAAAGCTCAGAATACTCCAGAGGTATAAAGCAATGGTTTATAAATTACAAAATCTTTCTGACTTTGGAACATATCTATTACCACTAGATGTAGTTTCAGTCAAAACCATAGAAAAATAAATTGCGATTCTTTGCACAATTTTCTTTGTTTAAAAAAAGAACCCATAACACATCAGTACAGTTTTTCTTCTTCCCAATATCCTTCAATACTGAGATATGTTTGTGGGATGTATCTTTAGCATAACATCTGAAATTGAACCAGTACTCAAGAAAATAAAGCAAGAAACAGGAAAGCTTAGTTTAAATTAGCTTTTGAATTCCGAACTTTATACCTGAAGAGTGGTATTAGCCATCTCAGCAAAGATGCTAGAACTTAATGAATCTGTTGTAGGGAAGATGTATGGCTTTTAAGATACATTAATCTGTGCAGAAAGCCTAGGCAGAGCCCAGGCATCTACCCTGGAGTCAGGCAGATATACACAGCATTTTCAAAAATGCTGGCTAACAGTAAGCAAATGATAGCAGAGTCCAGCTCTCTGAACTGCCGTCTAATTTCAGTTTCCTTATTTACTGGCTTTTTTTTTTTTTTTCCAATGCAGTTTTGCTTAGACAATTTGTACTACAGTTTCTCTTCCCCCTGCTGTAGGGATATGTTGTGTTTTGTGATCCCTTGAAATCAAGGCTAGCAAAATACATACTCCAATTGCTGCTTATTCCTAAGCTTCATGTTAAAGCGACGATTTTTCCTACCTCAGAGCACACTGCACTGTCCCCCAGTTTCCTAATTAATTTTTGTAACTCCTATTTCTATGACTCTCTTGGAATTGCATATTTAAACAAAATAGTTCTCTATAAAGAATTCTCAGGCCGGTTGATTTTGAAGCTCAAAGAGCAGTAGCAGCTTAGTCTTTGTGTTTTCTGTGGGCCAGAAAATGTAAGTTTATTTCAGTTGCATCTTCCTAAAACAGTAGCTCTATAACCTGGAGAAGGATTTTTTGAATTACGCACGATTAATCTGCACGATCCCCAGGGAGCATTTACCTCTTCTGACTACCCAATTTCAGCCACTGGTTGTACATTCTTGAATGACAGTTGCAGAACTGAAGCATCTTTCAAAAAAGGCCAATTCCTTCCTGGAGGGAAGCATGCGGGCTTTGAGTGTGTGTAATAGGCTTATTCACAGTTGTGTTCTAGCAGCAGTCCACATGCCACAGCACGTGAAAAGAGAGTTAAACTTCAGACATTAGTTATTTAAAATCATTATGTTCAGCAGCAGCACCAAAGCAGAAACTTGCAGGCGAGAGAGCTGCAGAGCTTACAAAGGGAAGAAATTTACAAAAAACTTGGGCTGCTTAGCGCACGTAATAGACTGAAGCCAGTCACTATTCTAAAGAGTCCCCTACAAACTCCTTCACAAGCATAGAGTCATTTAAGCATATATCAGGCCACAAAAAACCCCTAATGAAACCCACAACAAGAAGTGCTGTCAAACCTTGACTCATTACTCATCTTTTAGTAGCTAAAGTCTAGCTTAAATCTAGAAAAACCTCAGAAGATCTGGTGTATGTCCTTATGTGTATATGCAAGAGGAATGACTTCTAACTAAGGATCTGGAATTGCTCTTTTTTGTTGGTGGGGTTTTTTTTGGTTTTGGTTTTTTTTTTGTTAATACAACCAAAATTTTGCAGAAGCGTGTGCCATCTACCCGGAACACATATCAGATCCTTGAATTAGCTATACTCAGGATTGCCAAAATAATTTGGAGGACAATGAAAGACACTGAAAACAGCTGGAAAACATACATGTTTCGAGGAGGAGGGAGTGCAGCAAGAATGAGCGTAGATAAATATACACTGGGAAGTGCCACCATGCACTATGTAAACAAGGCATCAAGGACTGGGCATTCAGCCAGTGCTGGTGTTTGTGTCAAATACATTTGGTTAAACTAAGGTTTTATCTGCTCATCTTTAACAACTTCCTAGGCAGAAATAAAAATGTCATGACTATAGGAAAAGTAGTTATGAGTATAAAAAAAAAGAAGTAATTCACTTTCCCTTGATCTAGAGAACAAATTTTAACATCCGCATCAGCGTGTAAGCCTGTGGTAAACATTTACAGCCACTGTGGTTGTTCCATCCCTCTATGAACAGTATCAAGATCCTTCTTCAGCACTTCTCCATAGAGCATGAAAGATGCTATGTAAAAGACTTGCATGTGCAAGTGGGAAACACAAAGACTTTCTTCAACAGAAGAGTTAGGTAGGTGTGCATGTCTCACAATGTTTGCAAGTATCTGCATATGTGTGTCATGTCTCTATGCAAGTATTATCAACAGTGCAAAACAATGGATTGCTAAAATTTGTGTAGTTAGCACATGCACCTTCACAACCTCATTACTACAAGTTCTGAAGTGACCAAGGCTACACTTTCCAAGAAGCAGTTCATCTTCCATCCCAACACTGGATATATACAGCAGTTTGTTGCACATTTTCCTGAAAAACGTCTATGAGGGAGCAAAAAAGAAACACTACCTTCTGATGGTATACTGTAACATTTCTGATAGTCAAGCTTTGGGGGGGGGAAAACAACATCTAGAGAGCCTCAACAGAAAATGTCAAAACAGTAATCTGTCTGATGCTGTAGCAGACAAACCTGAGCATTAGCAACATACTGAAGCAGCCTACAGATGGCACGTGTCAGCAGTACTCTGCTCTGATCTGGATACAGATGTAGAGAGAAGCTTCCAGGACTCTATTCTGCAGTCAATAGCACTTGCCTAAAAGCTTACATACTAGAGACATACTAAATTTTGCAAGCCTACATGATTATGGTGCTGCCACCTCTTTCTGGAAGTCTCCTTTAATCAGGCTATTATAAGATCAGAGGGAGTATTAGCTTTGCGGAATGAGTGATTTAATATGAGTAAAGTGAGTCAGAGACCTACTCTAATGATAAGATCATGGCATCACCAGATTCTGTCTTGGAAGTAAACGGAAATGAAAGCAACAAGTGCAAGCACACAACTACATTGCCTATTGTCACATTTCAGAAGTAGCCCATTCTTGCAGGAAGCATTTTTAACAACTAAATCATTAAAAAAATCCCTCTTAAGTTTACTTCCTCTGCTCAAGGGTCCACTTCAATATTGTGACCAATGGGCTTTGGAAGAGCCTTGCTGCAAATGCTGGTATTAAATGTTCATTTATGTTCATTAAATGTTCATTAAATGTTCATCATGTGATCAGATGTCCTGCCGACTTTTGTTGCACTAACACTTATGAAGTGAGGTGACAAAGCAAATTCTTTTTTTTTGCTCAAGCACTGACTGGCAAATATGTAAGAGCGCATCTACAATTTCATTAGAAATTGCATATAAAGCACTGGAAAGCAGCCAAACAGATGTTAAATTAAAAATTTAACTATTTACAGTCAAGCAAGACTGAAAAGCAGAATCCAGACCATTTCATTTGAAGTATGAGTCAAGCCATAGCTATAAATTTATGGCTTTCATCTCACACAGTACTGACACAGCTCAATTCCCACATAGTTCCTTGCTCTCCAGTGACAGGCCCCTATACAGAACTGACAGACTAAGAGAAACATAGTACTTTCGCAGATCAGACCCATAGGCTTAGATGAACACAAACAAACAATACTTTTTGCACCATTTATGTTACCTGTCTAATGCCAACTGTCTAAAGTACAGCTATTCTGAATACATGACCAAACTTCTCTTACCCTGACATGGCAACATCTTTTTGTTCCAATAAAGATTATTTCTATAGCTACAGATAATGACTGCTTTTCCCAGTTACTCTGACAGCAGCTAGCATCTAAGAAATATGTGCTGTTATTTACTTATAAAGATGTGATGGAGAGCCTTCCACTTACAGTGGTTTTTCCCATGCTAGTTAATGGAAACTGATTAAGGGAATTCTGACGCTAGCTCTTCTGCCTACAGACAGGAAGGCACGGTACAAGGTTTTGGAGATGAAAGGGAACAACACCAGAAGACATTCTTTTCAGCCTGGAATGTGACCAGAACAAAAGTGATAGGAGGAATATAACACTGACGTACAAGGATGGTTGCCCTTTACATAAATGTTATTAAATCTGCTAAGATGCATGTATGTGTATTGATCATTTGACAGCTGATAATAGTTGCAAGGAAGATGTATATCATTAACACTGTACATATCTTAGCGTTCTACCCATATCAGATTGATAAAAGCCACTAGAATGACATTCAGACACGCCTATGTAGGGACTCCAAAACAGAGCTCAGTCAGTTCCCAAGAAATTAATCTGCCTTATCTGGTAGCAGATTATCCATAGACAAGTCTAGGAAGATACAAAATTGTTATTTATATTTTACGTTTATCATTTTCATGTATACATGTGTGTGTATACATATATATACACATACATATATATAGGTCATTGTTTGATATAGCCAGTTCTTTCTATATCTACGTGTCTATATCCAATAGTCTCAAAAAAACCTGAGCTGCGCCACTCGATTTTGATGGAGCAGAGAAATTGCACAGTGTCCTCATCGGAACTTCTTCCCCCAATTACTCATCCTGGGCAGTATAATACATTTAATTCATTAGTATTCGGAATGTTCTCCTGCTTCAGTCACTTCGATTGATGCTGATAATGGTAATGAACTATGGAACAGAGTAAATGGTGAGTGACAACATGCTGATGCAGCCTCCAGTAACACATGCAGGATTAAACAAATGAACAACAAAAAAAAAGCCTTAGAACTTACTGTCCAAAACTTTATGAAGTACTGCAAGACTGTAGCAGCAACAAACAGACAGTACAGTAAGGAATACATTAAAAACAGGAGGAAGAATTTGTAGTTAGAAAATCCCACACAATTATTCACCCTAGAAGGAGGGGAAAGAGAAAGAGGTTACTATGATATACAAAAAATAAAATAAAATAAAAAACAATACATTCAGCTTTTGCAGAGCATAACGTGTATGATGTCAGCGGTATGTCCAAAACAGTCTGGCACTAGTATTTCAGAAGCATTTTAAGCCACCATTTTGAAGGAGGTATCTTTCCTCAGGCCAAATGATCTGGGCCCCTCACATAGATTTCACCCCCCATGAAGTTCTACAGGACAGGACATAAGCTGGCAAAGCGTATGATACATACAGTCTGTATAGGAAGCGTCTCACACACTATGAACTAACTGCAGTCATCGTGGAAGATAATATGATCCTCTCCATCAATTTCAGTGGATGTTGCTTTGGTTGCAAAACCACCTTCAAGTCAACTACTGATAGCAGTATTTTTATAGAGACAGCAGATAATATTTTTACTGACTACCAGTGAATACAAACTGCAGAAGAGTAACTGTCTGAGTGAGTCTTATGTATCATCTAGAATCAAGAACTGATTTTCATAGTGTAGTGGGTATCTCCTCTCCTGGTAACAATACCAAACTAAACAACAGAAAGAAATGCCATTTCTCATAGGTCTTGTTAACACCAGGGCTTCTCTATGTAAAGAGAAACTGCATGATTTGGGCTACTGGGCCTACAACTCTATGTTGCAACACACATTAGGAACAAAATTTATTTTCACATATTAAAGCCTCAAGAAATTCTGTGAAAATCAAGTTTTACTTCAAGGTTGCATTTTTGAAGCAGCATCTAATTCATCATGTAGGATCTAATTCATCATTATTATACTGATTTTTTTTTTGGTTTTATAAACTTACCATGGACAGTGGTGGTCCATTTTTAATACACATCTGAAAGAGATAATTTCCAGTAAGCTAAAGCAAAAAATACATTTTCTTTCTAAGACACAAACTTCTAGCTTCTACAGGTTTGAGGGTGGTTTGGTTTTTTTTGTTTGGTTTTTTTTTGGTTTTTTTAAAGTATTTTGCTCCACTGTATCTTTTTCAAGTCCTTCTCAATCATGCTTATTCTCCATATTATAGCAGCCATCCTTTCACCCAAAAGGACCCAGTGAGATTCAGAAGAGTTATGAAGAGAATCTCTCAAATTAACACGGGGAGCATTACTGAGCAACAGCATGTAACAGTTCATTAAGCCACACTAGTTTTATGTGCACATTGAGAGAAAACAAATCCAAAAGACCCTTCAGAGTTGTGTGGATAAGGTACGTTAACCTGGCATTCACTTCAGCTAAGCCTACCTCAGGGCTATTTTTGCTACCTTTTTTTGTTTGTTTTTTTAAAGCTAATTGAGAAAAAGAGCAGCACAGTGGGTAATTTGAATAGTCCACATGCCATTTTCATCCAGTTTTAATATAAGAACAGATACCAGACATTTCAGACACACAGACATTCACTGTATTTGCTAATAAATTTGATTTTAGCCAAAAGATGTGTATTAGGTTCTTCAGTTAACTAGATTTCCTCAAGCTCAGCCTACTGAAGTCTCACTCATAGCCTCAGTCTTCAGTGCCCTTACAGACTTCTCTGATGATTCAGAATGAGGCTAGGGAATAGCAGTGATGTCTTTGAAATGGTTAAGGCACGTAATTGCACTGTCAATCTCTGAGATAAAGATTTTTAGCATTATTAGTAGCACACATCTGTTTCAAGGCTGCAGAAGCAAGATATGATAAGAGTTCTACAGTAAGCATTTGCTGTGCTGGTATCTCAGACCTGCCTTTCCTTACTTTCAATCGCTGATTTTTTTTTTTTTTTTTTTTTTAAGCACTGTTTTGCAAAGCTACAAGCAGGTTTCCTAAAAAGTTCTGCCATTTTGGACAATGGGGCTGCAATAATAATATTGCATCAACAGGAAGAACTTTGCTTTTTCATGAAATCCAGGTACTGAGGGTCTGAGAGAGGAACAAATAATAAAACCTGCTGTTAGGCAAGGGCTGACACACTGAAAACATGAACACACTGAAGTGATGATTGCAGGAGAGAGAAAATCCATCATTTCAGATTCAGTAACTTACATGTCACATGCAGAACAGTGGTGGCAGCGGTCAGGTTTGATCAGCTGGCATCGATCACAGTATCTGATTGCTGTATTCAAGTGGCAAGGGTCAAGTCATTAGAACTCACTTAATGTTACAAAGGTTTTCCCCCTTAACATGAACTGAATCTTAAAGAGCTTCCTGCCCTCCCCTGCCACACCTATTCTCACAGACCTTCATGTGCCTACTCTCATATGATATGTTCTTTTGAGTTTTTTAAAAAATGTAACATATGAAAGTATTTAAAACACTTTCATCTATTACTGCTGTACTGAGTCCATTTCCATTTACTCTTTGGCTCCCCAGTCTTTCCATCCTTCATCCTCTGGCACTGATCCCCTATCGCTTGCTTTCTTTCACCTCTGGACAGGGTACTCAGGCACTCACTGTGAAACTACATTCTTTCAGCAAGCCAACTTTCTGCATTAGCTTTCTCTATCCTCTTCAGCAAATAGTGATCTAGCAGACTGTTCAGTAAATTAGCTCTTCCTCATCTTTCCTGCATATTTTTAAACAAGCCTTCAGGCTCTTCTCAATGGAAATGAGACACAGGCAGTTTGAAAGGGGCAAAGCCAACACCTACAGCTAGGCAGAACTGCTAAGAGCTGGCAAGAGCTTCCCAGACCACTCCAGGAACTTAAGACTGGGATTTCCTGAAAGGGAGGCTAGTATTCAAAAGAGCCAGGTGTCCTTAGACTTTGTTTGGAAAGTCACAGTAAACTTTGGTAACAGTTATTCTGAGTAGTTTATGTTTTTGGAAAACTCTACAGCATTGCTAGTTTCAAGAAAGAGAAACAGATATATATATACATATAAAAGCTAGATTTTTTAAGGATATACATATGTATAAGACAGCAGTTTCACAGATCATTCATATAAGTTGGAATAAAAAAGCCTATATGTATTAAAGGCAAATACAGAAATAGCCCATAACTAGCTTTGTACTGAATTACAGATGGGAATGAAACAACATTTATTCGTTCTTAAATTCCAGCCTTAAGTATGATGTTTCTCCTCCTGCTGAATACAGCTCAGAAAAAGAAGTTTAAAGGGGGATATAAATGATTATAAAATTGAGTAAAAAGTTGACTTTTCTCTATTTCTAGCTGTATTTCTTTGCTGTGCTTATTTTTTATAGCCACAATAAGAGATAAATGTTGTCATCTATCTGCTTGCTAGAAAAGGAATTTTATTTTTTTTTTTAATTCCAAATACTGGCTACATGTTGAGATCCCCAGGCAAAGGACTCCAGTTTCTCTTGGGGGAGAAAACCACACAGCCCAAACAAATAACAAAACAAGGTCATGGCCTGTGCAATATGTGCTTAATAGATTGTTCATTCAGTGACATCAAATTATTTCACTGAATTAAACTAGCAGCTTCAGGAGCACAGAATTATCTATGTATCTCACCTCTCGATGCTGTTGTCGTATAGATAGGCAAATCTTTAGCAGCTCTTCTCAAAATCTCCTGCTGGGATTCTGGTCTCTCTTCTTTTTCATATTGTTCTTTATCAGCTTTTGACAAGCAGAACTAGGACGGAGGGAGAAAATGGAATGAAGGGAAGAGATGAATTATTACTTTGTGTTCTAGTCAAGCTCCAAGGAAAAGACCTTATGTATCTTAATCCTATGCCTTTGGACAACCCCCACCCACCAACCCAAAAAAACCCATGTAAAGAAAAACAGAATGCTACAGGAATTACAGGCGATCCTCAAAACTCCATGATGGTCCTGGGCATATTTTAAAGAACATAATCTTTCTCTCTGTTCCATTATCTATGGCATTTTCCCTTCAACACAAAGGAAGCCAGAGACTCAGGGGAATTTTAAGAAGGCATAACCTTTCCTTTACGCTTATCAGGAGTTTAATTAAAGTGATCTGTGAACAAGAGGAAGGTGCAACAGTCCTTTGCTGCTACAGGGCACCAAAGTTCCCTTATCCCACTTTCTCTCTCTGATTTAGAGGGGTACAAGCCAGCAGGTGGGGGGAAGGGGGTGGCGGCTTCATGGCTTCAGCACAGAAGTTGAGAGAGTTTAACTGGAATTTTTACTTGGGAGTAGTCAGCTCTAGTCTCAAAATCCATGAACTGTATTGAAAGCAACTTCAGCAAAGCCTGTACAGTTTCAGAGAGAGTTACAATTCTAAGTAAAGCATGAGGAGCATTCCTGTTGAAGCCTCACTGAAATGTAAAGCTTTACGAGAAGAACCTGGAGAGCTTTTACGCACTTGTGAAATGCTTAGTTTGGTATCCACTGAAATTATGAACTTTACCATTAAGCCCCACAAAACCCAGTGTGCTGACAAGACTCTGAAGAGCTGGGGCTGAACTCACTATTTCCTGTGCTATTTTTCTGTTCTGAAGCACTTTCAAACTCTGAGATTCCCCCATGGACTACAAGAGCCCTTTTTATGAGCACACATAGACAAAGTATTCATGGTAGTGAGTGGAAAATGCTGTGTGTGCAACTGGAACAAAAATTGGCTTAGTGTGGTTTAATATGACCATATTTTCCTACCAAGAACATGTATATGATTATTTCACATGGATTTTCCTCTCATCCTGTACTTTTTCCTCTTTTGGATTACAGTCAGTTGGCAAGCAACAATGAAGACTCCACTTACAGAAAGGAGGAAGCAGTAAGACATTGCTGCAATTTCCCTGTGTTATTTCCTAACCCAAAATGCAAATAAGTTGCCTCATATCTCACAGAATCTAATTAAGTCTCCTGTTACAGATAGTATTATCCCAGTTATTGAGCCTGCCCACCATTCAAGGGTGAAACATGAAACATAATCCCCTTGATCAATCTACGTGGAGAGTGAAATTACAGTTTAACATTTCAGTCGTCACCAAGAGTTTGACCTCACTTTTTCGTATCCATCTCTAAGCTAGATATTTACTCAAATATGAAGACTGGAGATGCTCACATAAAAAGTTTAAGTCAGATATGAAGGATTATGCCCGCAAACAGCGGTGCAATATGCCTTCCTCCCTATTGCCCTTGCGAGTCTGCTAGATGACCAAATGCCTGTCTCCGTGACCTGCAATCAAGCAGAAGTGGCATTAAACATGAAATACTACTTCTAGATTACATTTCCATGGCAAACCATTAATGCACAGAAAAGGAACTAAATCACAAGATTTAAAACTTTTTTGATTTGTCCAAGTAACATCATAATATTACTCCAAAAATCCTGGATAGGATTTTGGTTTTCCCAATAGCTATGTTTCTGTTCTAATTTCAGAAATTAATAGGGCCATGAGACCACAGTCTCTTTGGACAATGGCAGGATATGTTCAAAGACATCAAAAGTTGTCTGTTACCACATAGCTAACAGAATTTCCAATGAGGTTCCAGCAGTTCTTACTGAAAACAGAAAGAGTCCCTTTGTTTCCTTCCTCTTTCTGGATCTTGTATAATGTTGATTGTTCTTTCTTATGACAAATGTACAGGGATTACACTAAGACAACAGCAGCTGCAGAATCTTTTTTTAGTTCAATAGTAAGACCACAGGATGCTATTCGTTTTGCAAGAATGGCTAGTTTGAATGACTAAAAATATATACGTTTACACTCTCATACAATAGGAAGATTCTGAAGTCAGGTTTTGTTTTTAAGTAAAACCAGCATAAATTACTCACTGGTACATGAACAGAAGGGACTTGCCCAGAGAGAGAAAAAGTGTTGGTGTTTTTTTTTGTTCGGTTGGTTTTTGTGGGGTTTTTTTGGTGTGTGTTTTTTGTTGTTGTTGTTGTGTGTTGGGTTTTTTCTTTTTTTCTTTTTAAAGCTAGCTCGAGAAGAAAATTGTATTAAATCTGATCTACCCCCACACTTGATATAGGAAATATTCATTACATGCCATATGCCCACGCCATCCCTTTCACTCACTGAATACGAAAAGCTTGCTACAACATTACTGTAGCTACAGGCTAAGTACTGTCAGAAGATGTTTTCTATTACTGAAGAATTCAAGCAGACAGTAAAAGTTACTAGAGCTGCTCATAAAGCTAATGCCTAGTTCATATAGCTTTACAAAACCTGGAATAACACGGTTCCAACCACATTAGCTAACCTGCTTAACTTTATCATTTTCCTGCAGAACCATCCCAAAAAAGCTGAAACAAACCACCCTGAAGGCAAGTCCCTTTGAATTTTTGAGGTTTAACAGTTCAGTACTACTCTTTTTGCTTAGCTAAACAGCAGAATAGTCTTTAGCTTTTTTCACTTTATATTCTGTAGCCTTCTAAGATACAGATCTCTAAGCCATAATTAAGCACTGCAAAGCAGTGTTTGCTTTTCCTTAGAAGCATGGTTTTAACTCTTTTCAAAAATGTTTAAGGTTGACATTAGCACTGAAAGTTGGTCTTGCCAAAAATAGAATTCAGCCCCCATAGAGCAACCAAAACCTCAAACAGTTTAGCCAATTTAAAAGCTTTATAAAACCAAGGAAGGGAAGGGAAGTATTTTAAATTTGGTGCCAGTATTTAATCCTTACATGAACACACCTTAGAGAAAATAGAAAACAAGGTAATCCATCTCAGACTTATTGCAATTAATACTGTTCTTTTTCAAAACAAAACTTCTTACAGTCATCATGCATTCTCTTGCCATTATGTAAAGCTCCTTTAGGTATTTACTTCTCAATTGTCACTAAATCTTAACCCTTGACTTACTACTAAGTGGTTCAGTCCTCCAGGTTATGAGTATACATTGCATTACTATTTTTTCTTACCCAAACAAAGGTCAAAACTGCCTAAAATGGAACTATAAAAATGTTGTCTCCGTATTTGATTTATTGGTTTTAAAAATTCCAGGTTTCAAGCAAGCTACTTCATAGCAAAGCACTGTGCATGACTGTCAAATCTGTGATGAATTAAATGTGCATTTCGTGTAAGTAAATTTCATTACACAAAGTATACAGTATTTTAAGGGTAATTTGATAATTTTCATTCATGATACACTGTCATGCTGTTCTATTTTAGATAATGAGAAGCGAAAGGTGAATCATGCAGTACTGCAAACAAGTTTCATCACTGAAAACAGTTCAGCTATTTATAAAAAAGGCATTGACATTTTTCTAACGTTATATTTACCTCATTAGAGGGGGATGCAGGAGATGTGAAAATTGTCTTCCAATAGGACCACACAAACATGACAAATGACAGATGAAAAACCACAAGGTAGACAACTGCAATAAAATACAAACAAGAGTTTGGTGAATATAGCTGAAAAGAACAAGAAATAAAATCCCCAATCTTTCATGAGGGCTAAACTACTACACTATGAATCACCTGATTAAAATTAAGTTACATTAAACCCTCTTCCCTGGGTAGACGTAGCAGTCTAGGAGTGCTCACTTAAAAAAAAAAAACTTAAAAAAAAAATCACTACATGTGATGGTTGCTATTCCTCAAGGAAATAATAAGCTTTTATGTACGATTCCAGAACAGACTTTGAAGGGATAAAACCAAACCAAAAAACCCAGAACTGAACACCACTTCACCTGTGGCATGTAAGTGACTAACCTTTTTGGATAAAGAAGATGCTACAATTTCATTCTAGATTAAAGTATTTGATAACTGACCTATAGAATTCAATTTAATTTCTACTTCTAATAGAAACAGCACAGTATTGTGCCATTGTAGAAGGCACCGGTCATCAATGACAGTAAAAACTCCAAACCAGGGGTTTGGAGAGGACTGCATTCTGAGATGAGAGCTGTCTATGAGTTAAAAATTGTCTGGGTATCTTCTTTCAAATCATCACAGGAATATAATCTGGAAGAGTCCTGCTGTTATAGTCACAGTGGCAACAAGATGTAGGTGGCTTTAGTAGGGAGCTCAATCAATTTATGAATGGGTCTGTGTGATATGGTTGCCTTAAAGGCCAGAGACCCAGACCTTATGACCCAGGAAGCTTCTTCCAATCTTGTTTCCTCTAACAGTTTCTTCTACCACTTGACAAGAGGAAACAGATCAGTTGTGCCAGAACAGCAAGCCTTAGAAAAGAAGTCATACTAAATATTTACATTATCTTCACTTATATTATCTTCAGTTGCAGAAAGAAGGAAACTTGACCTACTTTCCCGTGCACATAAAGAGAGTCCTTTAAGAAGCTCCATGACATACTTCATGGATGGCAGAACCATCGAAAACTCAAAACTTTGGGAACTTCTAACAGCTCAGAAAATGCATGTGCACAGTCACAGAACACATAATCTTAATTTATCATCTATCAGGATTTTCACTGCTTGTTATGGTAAAAAAACCAAACAAACTGTATTTGAGTATTCTTCAGAGAATTATACTTTTTACCTTTGCCTCTGACTCCTCCAACCTTACAGACAGATTTGGCAAATTTTCAGCTGTGGAGCTGACTGAAAATGCAAGAAACAAAACCTTTTTCTAAAGCCATCCCAAAACTGTGTATCACTGTACTAGGCACTGCGTAATTAGAAATGGTCTTTTATTAAAAACATACTGTACACATTCAAACATAATGCGGTTAAGCAATTAAAGCATGAGAAAACAGTTTGGAAAAGAGGAGAAACGGATACAAAATTGGAGTGGAACCAGCTGCACAGATCAGAGCTTCGGGGGAGAACAGGGTGAGAGGAATTGAATAGAAGGAAAAGGGAAATGAGATACAGGGGAGGGCAAAGCACAGCAAAACTAACTTACACAGTAAACAGTTCTATTCTGTCCATAAAAATCACCCCCAGAATTCAAATTCTTTTGAAAGATTATTTTTAGTGCACACACAATACTTCAAACAGAACCTCAAAGTCTTGTCACAGGCTGTAAATGCCCCAACAACACAGAGAATAACAGGCACCAAGGCTGGCTGCAGCAAGGGTACAGGTCTGTGCCAGTGCTACCAGTATTTACTAGAAAGAGGCAGCTGTTAAAGTGCTCTTGCACTCTTGCAATAACTGAGATCTTGCAATCTGTCACCATCATTAAAAGCCAAGGGTCTGTCCTCAGCAGCCAAACTGGGGCAACTCACGGAAGAGCAAACTTTCACAGCTGTTCCAGTGATGGGTACCACCCAGCCTAGAGGAGACAGAGCCTGCAATTGGCAGTCCATACTGGCCCCGCACTGAATAAATTCTTGCTTCTTATCCCAATCCTGTGCTGCCATTCCTACTGTAATTACAGTCTGTCAGTGCTCCCCAAGAAATGAGAGGGAGGGAAGATACCATTTTTGACAGCTTTACTTTGGCCGTCCATCTACCCACCATTTCGGGTAGCAGTATCTCCTCTGCAGACTACTGCCTGAAGCATCTTACATCATTTCCAGTACAAATATAAACGAGCTTCATTCCTATTCAGCTCATTTTCTTGTAATTACAAGCTAGATGGAAAATACATCAAAAACCTCAAACTCCAATATCTGCCAGTTTAGCCAGACTCAGAGTCATGAGGAAGTCCTGGCTAAGCTAAAGGAATCCAGGATTCTTGGTGCCATGCTGTTACCAAGTGAAGTCACTTCTCTTTAAAGGCACTGATGCATATTAGACCATAACTTAATACCCTCAGGAGGACAATGTCTTAAGACATGCTCTTCGCATCCTCCTAAAATATGCTAAGCCCTCCTAAGATTTGCCCTTAACATCCTGTTCTGAATCATTCTTAACACTACTTCCAAGACAGGGTCAGATTACAGAGAGGTAATAATATGTAACAGAAGTATATTATATTGCTAAGAGAGATTCAGAGTTGACTTTATTCCCCTATCCTAATGGATATAAATCTAGACAAGAATATGAAATTACAAAGAAACAATTAGCTTTAATGGGGTGAAGAAATCACCACTAGTTTAATCAAAAGTTGTAATTAAGTACTGGAGTAAAAGGATTTGAACACAGTACACTGAAATATGGAGCGAAATACGTTTGCTAAGATGCACATTATTGATTTACATAGCAATGTTACTGGTACTTTGGCCTTTTGACTCTTCTGACGTTATTTCCTGGCTATTGTGAATTAGCTTATAAGAACTTTATAAAACTTATGACATCTTTCATTTCAAATGAAAAAAGACTTCACATCTCATTTTAAGATCAACCTCCATGGTAAAGAAATTCATGCACGCAGGATGCCTGTGACATGCTTTAGAACTGGAGGTGCAAAAAGCATGCAGGTGACAGCTATTAAAAGCCTAACAGTCAGGTTCCAACTATACTGCTAGTCTCATTAATCAAATCAAGCATTTTTCTTCTCAGTCAGACAGACACCGCATTTGTATTAAAGCCAGAGATCTGACTATGCAACACCAACATCATTGCTCTGCCAGGCTTCCTTAACTAAGACATGGATCTTGCCGTTCCGGAAGAAACTAGAAAGTAAATTTTATTCATATACAGGTCAACAGTAAAGCACAGCAGCAATCTGTAGAATTTTGTGAAGGCTAAGTGAAGCCCAGCTGTGCAATGTAATGTAAAAACCCAGGGTAAGACACAGCTCCCATCTTGAACGGCTTACAGTTTATTTTGGAGGTTTCTTTCACCTCTTCCTTAGAAGATGAAAGATGACAAATTCCATCAAGGTTCCTTCCCTTCACAGTGTTCTCCTGGATGTTCCCCACCAGGAAGAAAACTGCTAAATTAGCTCCAAATTCTACGCTCTTTTGCAAAAATATTTAACAGATGAGAGCCTCTTACCAGTGGTCTCACACTCTGAAGACAGCCCTCTGTGGATAGTCACCACGCAAATCTATGTTTAATCTACCACTCATGTCCCCCCATAAGCTGAAATAACTCCCAAACAAATATCCCATCAATCATTTGTATTTCTATAGGAAAAAAAAAGTTTTATTAAAAAAAAACATTTTGAACTTCTGGAATTGAACCATCCTTTAGACTACTTTTTGTTCACAATTAAAAGAAGTGGCAGAGCAAGAATGCTGGAATTTTTTTGGTCAGTTTGTATCTCTATAAGTACTACCCACTGTGGCATATACTTGCCAAAGCCAATAGAAGACTTAAGTAAAGTTTGTCAAAACAAAGCCTTAACCACTTGACCTGGAAATTTAAAATTATAATGTGCAGCCACCTTTGAAATAGTTGCGTTTTGCACAGTTCTAACCAGTCCTAAAGAATGGAGTTCTGAAGAATTTGGTATGCTGTTTGGAAAATAGCAAGCAGTAGAACAACAATTCTTCCTCTTCCAGAAGTCTTTCAGGTCACAGGGTGTGTTCAGGAATAAACAGAAAATGGACTTGTGGATCTGCTGCAGTTCCTCCTCTCTTCTTTTTCTGTTCTTAGAAGGTATCCATTTAAAAATATTTGCAAACCTAAATACTAGTTGCATTACTCACAGGTCTTGTCATCATCCCAAGCTTGTGGTACTAGAAGCTAAACAGACTCAACCTCACAATATTTCCCTTGTTTCTTAGCACTAATCTACTCACTACACAGAGCTTGCACATAAAGGAGTACATAAAAATTCTATGTCCCTTAAGACATGCATGCAACAAAACTATTCACATCTCCAAAAAAAAAAAAAAAATTTTACCTTTTTCTGCAGTTGAAGAAATAGTAACTGGAAGAGAAAAAAAAAGATACATGGTAAGTAAATCTGTACTGAATCAGAAATTTGTCTAGAAGTGAGATATGAGATAGCTGACTTGTTCCAAAACGTACTTCAGGTGTTAGTAGAGCCTCCCTACCCCGCTCTGGGGTAAAACAGGAGTTAGTATTTGTCCTGCCACCCCTTGAGGCTTGGTGAGTCAGTGGAAGAGCTGAAGAGATCCAGTTCCTTGCACTAACCAAGTCAGCACACTCCTTTTCACAGACATAAATTAGATCATAATTTATGCATGTTCTCCTTTAGATATGTACCTAGCAAAGTTTTCTGAGGCATGTCAACAACAGGCCAACAGGTGTACCACTGGAAAGCAGAAAATGAAATAAAATAAGTTCTTACAGAAGTGCCTGTGAAACTGTGTAACATGTAACCTACTTCCCCCTCCGTTTTTTCCCACCACGTCTCTCTTCCCGTCACATGCTATTTTTGACTTTTTTCCCTGACCTAAATTCTTCAGGCATAGTTAAAAGCTCTCCACTTCCTTCTCTCCTACATCCTCATCTCCTTTCATCCCAACAGCAAATTCTACTGTCCAAATCTACCTTGTATACTGCCTCACTAGTACATCCTCCTGCCTTCAGGCTTCTCCAAAACCTTCACACTCCATTCACCAGTTCAGGTAAGATGCTGAACAGAGAGCTGCTGTACTTATTGCGTCGCTTTGTATTGCTCCCCTTGCTGGATCTCTTCCTTAGACACTGAATTCCTGAAATTCAATGAGGAAACGGTATTTTCCCAACTCTTTATCTTATACAGCAAATTTAAGCTTCTGGTCATCAGCATAAGCAAAAGGTTAACCCTGCCTAGTGCAGTTCACCTCACTCCACATTGTCTCCTCTCTCTCAGCTCTGACATTTCTACACTCACCAGTCTGTGTACCAGTTCAAAAGAGCTTTTTCCTGATGCAAAGTAGAGTCTTAAATTTGCAGGGCTTCAGTATGCATTGCAGACTTCCTTCTGAAGGGTTACTTTGGTCACAGAGGTGGCATGTCTCTCAATTAACTGCAGATATCTCTAGTAAAAGGGTCTGCAACTATATTATGCAACCATGCCTTTTTTTGTAGTCAACAAGAGCCATAATGAGGTGGTATCTCAATGCATAGATGACCCCTTTTTGTTCAGATATGTGGGGTTTTGTTTGTTTGTTTGTTTCTCCTTTCTCGCCCTTCCTTAAAATACCCGCTCAGCACCCTCTATCTGTCCATGGAAGCCTCTACAAAGTTCATGGAAAAGGTTGTGGTTTCATCCACCTAAAGAAGGCAGAAATTACCATTTAGAATAGAACACAGTTGGCTTCAAACTAAAGGAGATCAATGCTAACGAATAGCTTAATTTCACATTAGTTATGCATACTTGCACATCCTCCTCTCTCTGAAACAGGGACAAAATCCACACAGAAAACCAGACCTGAAGCACACAATTACCTGCAAAGTATGCATGTAAATATAACAGGTCCAGCTGTGTCACAATACAGTCTCAGTACTACTTCACTGCATGCTACAGAAGCTGCTTTATTTTTAAAGCGAATCCTATGATGTTTTTGCTTGAAATTTTACTAATGCGTTATTTCTCCAGTTAAAAATTTTTCAACAACACAAGGCGAAGACAAAATCATTAAAAAGGTGAAAATTAAAACAGGCTTGCTGAGTAGCATTGTTTGCTCAACTTCAAAAAAAATACCAGAAGTACTTTAGACTAAGCTTTGTCTTTGGCTCCTCATATATCTTAAGTAAACACCTTTGCACGCAGCTAGACAAACACAGAATCATAGAATCATTTAGGTTGGAAAAGACCTTTAAGATCATCAAGTCCAGCCGTTAACCTAGCACTGCCATAAAGCCCAGCCGTTAACCTAGCACTGCCAAGGCCACCATTAAACCATGTCCCTAAGCACCACATCTACGCATCTTTTAAATACCTCCAGGGATGGTGACTCAACCACTTCCCTGGGCAGCTTGAGAACCCTTTCAGTGAAGAAATTTTTCCCAATATCCAATCTAAACCTCCCCTGGTGCGACTTGAGACCATTTCCTCTTGTTCTGTTGCTTGTTACTTGGGAGAAGAGACC